CCCCAAAACCCCAAAACCCCAAAACCCCAAAAGACCTTATAACATTTAAAATCCCCCAAAACAAATGGAAGCCACCGCTGAGACAACTGGAGAGAAGACAGATGGGACCATGAAGAGAAGGAAGAAGACAGAATTACTTGTTTTTATAGCAGAACAGAACTTTCAGAAGAAAGTGGGATTGGAACTGAGGATTAGATATCAAATTGTTAGTAGTCGGAGGAGATATTTGGATGGAGATGGTATTAATTACAGAGATCAATTATGAGAAAAAGGGTTGAACAAAGTTCTTAAGCCTGTCAGCTATTATTCTATGACTTCATCAGATTTTGCAAGTAAAGTTAGTTTAAAGTCTAAAAACGAATACTTAAAATCGCTGGAAACAAGATTTTCTATGAAAGTTTGGAGATGGAAAATATGCAATTACTCTTGCCCAAAATTGAACCAAAATAGTATCAGTCAGAAAATCCTGTTTCGGAACATCTGTCGAGTCACAGATCAGCTTACTCTGCACAGGTGAAAAATTGGGGTGGCTTTTCTACAAAGATATTTGGCAGGAACAAGACATTTAAAATCCCTTGTGTTCAGCGAGTGAAAAATAGACTCAGAAGATAAACAAAGTAACGAATAAACATAAAAATTTATCTTATAACCGGCAAACCTAGTTCTTTTTGATTCCATAAATCATCTATTTTTATCAATTATCTTCCCCTGATTTTATCGTTTCTCTACCTATAGCCTGATCTAGATTCGCTCATTCTTTTTCAAGACATTAAATGTTAAGTTCAGAAAATTAAAGTTGCTTCTCTACTCGCTTAGATCATTTTTATTTCATTTTCATAATGAATCGAAACTTAAGGTTTGTATTACCCCTAAAATATTTCACTTAATGGTAAATATAGCAAAACAGAAGTTTAGCCCCAGTTTCTCTCGCTCTAAAGAATTAGGGCATGTAGCACCCCAATATCTGACGTTTGACAACTGAATAATTCCATCAAGTATTGAACTGTTTGAAATGATCGACCAACTAATCTTCAAAATCCTGAAAAAGATACTTGGAACAGTTTTCTGTGAATCCTTGAGTCAAATTAGATTCCAAAATTCCTATTTTTCAATGGATATTCTCGATATTGTATCAAACGAGCTCAACCTATCTTCTTATGGAGTGACAAGTGAGAGAGACAACGGTTCCCTCACATTTAACTTTGATTCATATTCAATTCAACCATAATTATCTCTTCTGGGGTTTTGGGGTTTTGGGGTTTTGGGGTTTTGGGG